TTTATGCAATTAAAAAAAAAAAAAAAAAAAAAGTTTTCAAGCAAACTTATTGGGAGTTTGTTTTAAATCTCTGGTCATGCCCTTTTTATTTGCAGAATTTCAACGAGGCTTTTGACACTTTATGATCTTCGCAACACTACTGTGATACTAGAATCAGAAAACTGTTGTTTGTGTGCTGCTTCTTGTGCTTTTCTCTCAGGTTGATACCATCTATTTGTTGTGAGGAAAACACCGGCCTTCATTTTTTCCAAGTTTAGATGGCTAATTAGCCAATTTAAAAAAAAAAAAGAATCTGTTCTATTGCGTGCTTTGATGTTGCAAGTCTGGCTGTATATGCCTACAGATGGGATGGAAGGTTTTGAATGGAGAGGTGATCCCTTTCTTTAAATCACCTACAAGTTTCAGGAGAAAATTCACAGAAGTACAGAAGTATTTCCTCAGGTGCAATTCTAACGTTAAATGGAAATGAAGACTAATCAAGCTTATCTCGATTGCCTCAATCACATGGAGTATTGAAGAGAAAAGGCAGCGGGTGCCTGAGAAATAAGGGCTGTTAGTGATGGTTGAAGCGAGATGGTCGGGTTGTTGGGTTGTTAGTTCCTATAGTGACTAGAGCTCAACTAGAGGGAAAAAAATAAATTGGAGAAGCGACAGTTTTGAAGTGCTATGAGAGCAATAGTTCAGTAGTGTTTCTGCTCTTTTGCTCGAGTTTATGAGTTCTGGTTTCTGGTATTATATTTCTGAAGGTACTTGAGAGTATTGATGGACAGATCTGAGGAGACAGATTGGGTTGGCTGCTCTGTAATATATTTTCATAGAAAACAAGGTTCTTTTGGGTTTTGCCAGCTTTTTACATAAAATTCTTTCTAAGATGTGACTGTTGCATTCCACCTACATTGCTTCCGCAGTATTATGTGTAAGAAGTGATTGGGAGGAGTTTGTGTCAAGGTACTGCTTTCCTCTGCTGTGTGTATTCTATTAACTTTAAAACAGTTCTGTGTAGTGCCTGGGTTATAGAAAAGCCCAATAACCAATGAAATACTGTTAGTCGAGGCTATTCTTTTGGTGTGCATGTATGTTATCCAGACAGCATATTGAAAAAGTGAAATCTGTGTTGAGTCGTATAGGGTGGGGTTGGGTTTGTTGGTTTGGTCTTATAAGCTGCTGGCATGTTCTAAAGGAGTAAATATTCTCTGTAATATAAATGAGGTGATACCTGAGTACTTTGAGTCTGTTAGAGGGTATCAGTGATTTTCATGGAGATGTGCTTTATAAATATAAATACATAGGCTGTCTGTTTTCATATGTTCTAGTCTGTGCATCTTGTATTCTAATCTTGTCTGTAGAGTTACTGGCAGGGTGATGTGTTTTAGAAAACACTTGTGGGAGAGCATGTGTTTGATAAACTTCTAAAATTCATCAGTCTCAATGCTTACTCTTGTCTAAAAGAAGTTGTTTATGTACTTGCTATAGATTTTGCTGTTGTTTCTTACACCTTTTCAGCTGCTGTCCCTGTATGCTGCAGGGGATATTTGCTTGTAGATGCCTGTCCCTTTTCAGTAGAATGTGGCAATCTTGTCCTCTTTTTTCCCCCCTTACCAACTCTTTTTGTCTATTCAAAGTGGGCTAACGAGCTTTCTGCTCAGTGCACAATTCCTGTGAGTTGTTGAGGCTCATCTTTTAAATTTCTTTGCGTGTCAATTTTTGGCTCGATAAGACAGTTTAAGTGTCTGATCATGTAGCTCTGTGGTCATAAATATTGACCCAAGGGAAGCAGAAAAAATACTGTGAGGAGGAGGAGATGGCTGCTTTCAATATCCCCCAAGTAAATCCTGTACCTTATACAGATCAGATCCTTCCCGCTTACTGAAACTGTGTCTTCATAGAGTAGTTCTGCGGCAGTTAAACCGGTCTAAGGCGGGCTGAGGTGCTTTTTCTCCTTTCGCTCAGAGTCTGTGCTGAGTTGGTGCTGAGCTAAATCCGTTTCCTGACTGTTGGAATATGAGCAGGCACCTGAACGCTGCCAGGGGTGCAGGGGAGAAGCAGAGCCATGGACACAGCTGTGGAAGGGGGGAGGTGGGATGAAGACAGCAGTCTGGATTTAGATTGGGTTACAGTGTACCCAGAAACTTGCATCCTTTTCCAGTATATTGATTTAAGAAAGTTTTAAAATCTCTCTCTCCAGTTTCTCTGCTTTTCTTCTCCTCCTGCAGTTCTATGCATTGTGACATGTGTACAGCTGGGCGTGCGTGTCTGCCTGTCGTAGATGTACCCAGGCACCTGTAACCGCATAGATGAACGCGAATTCTAGTGAAGTACTGAGAGACTCTATTGATTCATGGAAAAAAAAAAAAGACTCTACAACTCAAATAGAGTTAGACAGCAAGTATGTTTACGCCGGCTCCGGGGTGCAAGGGGATCTCTCCACAAAGCTTGCACACCAGCAGCACATTTTACCAAAAACTTATAGTGTGGATATCCATATTCATGGGGTTACATAACACAAACTGCCCACAACAGGGCCCTCCTGCGTGTGACTCAAGGGTCAGTGGGTGAGCTGGGGCTGTGGGCTCTTGCTCAGGCTGGGCCCTTGTCTGGGAGCTGTACCAGGACAGGCTGTGTACAGAGCGAGCCCTCTTCTGCCACACTGACAGCAGGCTGAGGGAACAACCTGGAAAAGGCCGCTTTGAAGGAGCACTTAACAATAACACCACAAGCAGAGCATTAGAGGGGGTCTGTTGGGGGTGGCCAATGCCACATAAACCTCCCCTCCTGCTTGGAAATCCCCGTGTTGTGGCCCTGTAACCCCGGAGACCACCGTGCCCAGACCCCGGAACCAGTGACATTGTGACATCATCAACATTGCCGAGGGCACTGTGGGCAACGCCAGCCCTGCGGGCAGTGTGTCGTCGGCTGCCGCACTGGTGGCAACAAGCCCTGGGTTCTGGCA